CCCGTAGCAGGCATGGGCGTCCCATGGGACTGATGAAAGAACAATGCAAAATACCCATTTAATAGTGTGAGAGAGAGAAGGAGCCAGCAGGCTCCAAAGCTCCCGGGCTAATCAGAGGTTCAGCGGCCCCAGGTCCGCAGCCCCAAGGAGCCCGGCAGAAATTCCCCTTACCCAGGTGTGTTGGGAAGGGAGGGGCCGATATTTCCCCCACCGGTATAAAGAAGAGTCCGGGACCGGAAAGTGGAAGCAACACAGAACCGGAAATAGGAGGAGGAGGAGGTGGAGCACGCCGGTGCACGCTGCAGGGAATGCTGAAAGCGACGTTGAGTGCTGGTAGGAGCCTCTGGCAGAGAGCAAAACCCCAGCGGGGTTTTGGAACCCAATTTACTGGCCCCTGCAGGGAGTAGAACTGTTTGTTTACTGGCCGGGAGCTGGCTGAGCCCCGCATGAGAAGGGTACCATAATAATCCTAAGAGAGGGGGACTATTGACTTTGGGGTACCGTAGTCCCTGTAATAGTGGCACAGTCCAATAGTGGACTTAAGCTGTTAAAAAGGAATCTCATCAAGCCCTACAAAGGGGCTCTCAGAGAGCCAACAAAGGGGTGCTTGACCCCTCGAAGGCCAAGTTTGAGTTGGAAGGTGGCTGCAGACAGACGGAGCAGCTACACAGACCAGGGGAGCCTTCTCGGTTGTCATGTTTGTTTTGACTGACCTTTCTTTTGTGGATTATCCGGGAGGAGCTGAGGATACAGGGCCGGACCAGCCGGCTGGCCACCACCCGGTGGAACAGGTGAGGGTGTAGGGGTGGCGGAGCCCTCAGAAACTTGGGACCTCGCGAGACACCGGGGAGACTCATAATTGGACTACACTTGAAGGCATCTGAACCAACTCCATTAATATCAAGTCATGGCAGGCGAAACATACACGCGTGAGACCCCAATTATAGCTGAAGACACCCTAGACAAGTGGTGGGCGGCGTCCATCAGGTCCCCAAGGGACGGCAATAACCGACAAATAGGTTGCCTTTTTCCTGGGCATCAGTTGTCAGTTGTTCCATCTGGCTCAGCAGGGGTCCAATGTTGCCCTTGCTTTTCCTCTGGCTCCCCACATATCTGAAAAAGGACTTTTTATTGTCCTTGATGCTCAAAGCTAGTTAGAGTTCAGTTGCAGCCTTGGCTTTCCTGGTTTGCTCCCTGCAGAACTGGACCAGTGCAGAATATTCCTCCTTGGAAGTGAATCCTATCCTCCATCCTTTGTAGGCCTTTCTTTTTAGCCTTAGGAGGTCTGCTAGATCCCTAGAAAGCCAGTGTGGGTGCTGTGCCCTCTCGCTGCCTTTCTTCCGAGACAGAATAGAATTAGCTTGTGCATTGAGGATCGCTCCCTTGAGGAGCAACCACTCTTTCTGAACTCCCCTACCCCTGGGGTCATGGTCCCTTAGGGCCTCACTGATGAGCCTCCTGAGGTTGTCAAAGTTGGCTTTTCTGAAGCCAAGGACTTCCATTTCGCTGACCGACTTACCAGCTTTACAGCAGATGGTGAAGGTGATCAGCTAACGGTTGCTGTCACCCAGCTTCCCATCGATCACTAGGTCACCAATTAGGTCATCCCCAGTAGCCAGTACCAAGTTGAGCAGCGCTTTACCTCTCATTGGCCCGTACTCTTCTTGAGTCATGTAGAGGTCATCCACACACGATAGGAAGCTTTGCAACCACTCGGATTTTGCTGAGTTATCCTCCCACGAGATGTCCAGGTAATTGAAGTCACCCACGACAACCATGGTCCTGGAGCATGCAGCCTCAGCCAGTTCCCAGGCAAACTCCTGGTCAAGCTCTTGACTTTGGGTGGGAGGTCTGTAGTAAACTCCCACCATTCTGTCCCCAGTGCCATGTTCGCCACAGATTTTAACCCAGAGGGTCTCCAGTCATCCACCCTGGTTGCCAACATCAGCTTGAAGGGACACGTAACTTTCCTTAACATAGAGAGCTACACCCCCACCCCTTTTATCTACTCAGTCCCTCCTGTACAGGGTCTAGCCATCTATACCTGTGGTCTAGTCATGGATGGAGT